TGTGTGTGTGTGTGTGTATAGATATATATACATGAAATATAAAAATATATTCTTTTGAGCGATATGCCGTAGATTGGCATGGGTATCAGGGTATACTATATACATATGTACGCTGAAGTGATCATACGTAGCGACTTCAATACACACTTAATAGACGGCGACCATCGGATGCGCGCTCTATCTCAATTGTGTGGGCTCTCACGAAAATTCCACCATTACCGCAAATGAAGCAAGGCTACAATTATACGAATTTTCACTTGCAATTTGAGCAATGTACATACACATAGTTAACACTCACGCATACACCTAATCAATGAACCGCCCACTACCAGAACTTCATGCTGTTATATTCAAACACGCATAAACGCGCATACACGCACATCCCAAATAGTCGCGTACACGTACACATGTGCGCTGCATCCATACCGCAATTCACCACCACCGGGAGGCTTCCATCTCTCAGCCGCGTCAGTATAGCCCTGCGCTCGTCCTTGTTTGTCTTCGACGTCACGGCTATCGCCTCAATACCCGCGACATTAAACAGCTCCGCCAACGCCTGGCTATGAGCAATGTCTGTGGCAAAAATCAGTGTGGTTTTCCTCCCCACGGCGTGTTGTCGGTAGGCGTTGAGGATGAGCTCGTTGCGGCGACTTGTGTTGACCTGTCTGTGTGTGGTTTGGGCAGCGCGTGTGGGGATATTATCCTACTGATGGATATACATTCTAGTTATTGTGGTCCGATTCCGAAATGGTATACACACGAGGAGACAACTACGATTCATATCCCAGCCGTGTATGCATATAGATACAGATATCAGGCGTGCGCGTGTCGGGCTTGCGTTCTTGGGATTGGCGCATAGTACTATGTAGGATGTTTGTGCGATAAGTGCAAGAAACCCTTTTAGAAGGTGCAACACGCTATAGAAAGAAAGCCAACACCCCGTACAAAGTCAACCAAACTATATAGCAACCGAATCACTCATCGTTACCAGCATATGAACTAAATCAGACGCTGATTCGCTCTACATTGAGCCCATACGCCTCATCCGTGCCAAACTACTTTCCGCCTAAGCACCGTACCAATACTAGAGATCAGAAACCCCCAATTGACGGCGCGCTATTCAACCCTCAGTCACTGCCACGCTGGAAATAAAACAAATACAATTGTGACACATCAGTCATGCCAGCGGCCCGCATACTTGGATAACTGCGACACAACAAAGTCATCGCCCAGGGTTGGGATGCTGCTGAGATCCAGTGACGTACTGACCGTGTAGGGCTTCATGGGGCACAGAAAGCCCTGGTTCAGCATGTCGAATATGCTGACGTGGTACGACACCGTGTCAAAGAGTGTGGACAGACACTGTCCATCGTGGCGGCGCAAGGTGGCAGTGCAGCCCCAAACCTGGTAGTGGACAATTAAAGGATGATGAACTCGCGAGACAACGATGGATAAAACTTGCAAACGATCGATAAACAAGGCACTTTAGATACCATCAAGATGTACAACTGTCACGGAGAGTGTGAACGGACACTATCGCTTGGCGATGCAGTGAAAGTAAATGAATGAGGCGATCAGAAGACAGCCTCGCCAAATGAATGGAATGATAATAAAAACATGCAGATGAAGGTACTGCGTGAGTGTTCTAACGAGTGCAGATACGCACTGTCCGTTGTAGCGGCTCAGAGTGGCGACATATCGAATGA